AAAGTTAGAGTTAACGCCCTTTTTGTCTCATTATTGGCATTGATTTGCAATCAAATGCAATGTCTTATCGTTTTATTTATAATTAATGGCATTATTTTTGTCAACTCTTTTGAATACGGATTTGTGTATTGAATGTATGATTGAAACCGATTGTCAATAAGTGTTGATAGCATTTGGTGTGCAGTAATAGTGCTGTAAAAGTGATGCCAAAACGTAACGCAAAATCGTTGATAACCTTTAAAAGACATAGACTTCACACTCCGAGTGATGCTATTTATGGCACCAAATGCTGCTCTCCTTCTCCTCAAAGAATGTCTGCTTTCAAGACACTGACAATCCGTTTCAATCATACACTCAGTGAATGAGCACTTAATTTATGAAAAACTAATTAAAATGTCATTATCTGTAATAGTCTTCGGGAGTGACCGTATCCTCAGAGGCAAAGACTGTGTACGAAGAGGTGAAGAAAGACAAGAAACACCGTTATATCATATATCACATCAAAGACGAGAGGGTAAGCCATTTGCGATGTCATTGATGGCCTTAATGTGTGACCAATTGTTTGTAACGTTGAGGTGATTGACGTGGAGTCGACGGGAGCACGAGATGCCACTTATAGCGAGTTCTTAGAGAAGCTGCAGAACTATAAGAACGAATGCCGTTACTGTGTATTCGACTTTCCGGCCAACATTCCCGTCGACGCCGGACAGGAAAAGTCCTCAATGAGTGTCGACCGACTCGTTCTCATGACTTGGTATGTGATTGAGTGCTATATGTGTTGATTGTTGTGATCGTAATGGTTGTGCTGACAGGTGTCCGGAGAGTTCAAAGATCAAGCAGAAGATGCTGTACTCGTCGTCGTACGACGCGCTGAAGAAGGCGTTGGTGGGGGTGTATAAGTACGTCCAGGCGTGCGATTTCGAAGAGGCCTCTCAGGAGACATTAGAGGACGCCTTCCGAAAGGGCGGCAAATAAACCACAATTCAATTCTAATCTCATCGCTTGAGTTATAACTAAATTTATAATTATTAATGTATTTGAAAGTAATAAGTGATCCGAACTTTTAACCGAATAATAAAATATAAAAAGCAATTTTTTCTGTCAATATTTTTAATTTATTATAATTATAAGAATCGAAATATGAAATGTCTTTTTGAAATTAAGGTTTTAATTAAAAACTAAAATGTTTTGTCATTATTTTCAATGACGCGAACAAAATATATTTATTTCAATAGTAAATGAAAACATTTTTTGAATTTTATAATTGATTACAAAAACAACAAAACAAATGGGTTTTTGAAAAATACATTTCTTATATTACAACAAAACACTTAAATTTTATGTCAATCTATAATATCCATAGAAATTTTGAAAGCATTTATTGATTTCAATTGATATGTAATGTAAGACAAGCGAAAAGTTTTCATACTTTTAGCTTAATTTTGTTTTTTGTAATTAAATTGAATAAATAAAAAATTTTCGACGATTTAAATCAAAAATTAATTCCACTTTTTTAGGGCATATTTAAAGATGAGTTCGATTTTATTATGTAAAGTAACATTTCGTGTGCTTTTAAGTTACAAAAAATCACTTTTTAAATGAATACAAATTTTTAAATAAAAATATAATTCATTGTTTAAGAAATGGTTTAATTTAAAAAATGATTAACTATTTTGAATGGTTTTGGTCGACAACAGCGTCCAGTGTTTTCACAGCCATTTCAATGACTCCTTCACGGCTATCATTACCGCCGATAAATCCACTCGAGTGGACAAAAACGCATCCATCGATTTGCGATACTTTACTCAACTCTTGGTCCCGAAGTCCTCTCCACTCAGACTTTAGAGGCACTCGTAGTTCAAAGGAATGGCTCGATAGGGGAACCGCCTGTACTCTCCACTTGCCTTTTGAGTCCTGAAATATGACAAACTTGATCTCCGGTTGGATCGAATCGCTTTTCTCCATCAGAAACAGATGCTCTTTCCACGGAAACACTTGTTTTAATTCAATTATCTGTCCGTTTGAGTGAACGTCGAGACGAGAGTCAATTGCCGATTGGAGGAGTTGTCTGGCCGGCCACCAAACCTCGCCGTAATAATGAACTCTGTCTTTGAACTCATGTCCCACTAATTCAATCCCTTTCAGGAATTGCTTGTATAGGATGTCGTCAGAAGACACTTCATTCCAATGAGGGATCAAATTAG